AGTTAAAATTTAGTCATCACCTGTTCTATAAAAGAAACCAGAACTTCACATTTCCGTTATGTATATTGTACCGCTCATAGTATCGCTGCCTTACCGAGCGATACTAAATATTGACTTTACTCATATAACCAAGATATATATTTGTGTTTATAAGAAAAACACAATATCAATAAATTGCACGTTTCATTTATCAACATCTGACATGCCGTAGCTGGCCGTTTCATCACAATCTGTATGGCATGTAAGGGAGGTGTTGTTGTATTGGCTAAATCCCATTTGTGTGACGTTCGGCTTATCAGATCTACAGTAAGTGTTTGGTGCGATATACAAAGGGTTTCGAATTCATCACACTGGCGTTAATCTTCTGTAACAGAAGACAGTTATCCATCAAGGTTTTAAATAATAAACTCACAGATAAATCAGATTACAATATTAATTCGTAGGTGTGTGCGTCAGAGCGCTACCTTGATTTCAGTTGTCATTAAAATGATGCCTAACGTATATAAACTACCACAGTGTATTAACGAAGTTCATAGACAATCAAAAATAAATACCCATACGATATACAAAATACCACGAAGATCAAAGTTCAGTTTTTATGAAAATTGATTTGTCCATTGTATGTATGTGTATGTCAGCAAAACGTTCTGTTTTTTTCTAAAAACGTACACTTTCTTTATACTTTTACACACTAATATGTTAAAGTTGTACACACTAAAAAAACAGATCTCCAAGCATACCAATATCTCCGTAACAAAAATAGTTTATCTTCACATTCGACCAAGGTTTAATGACCAATTCCTCAAGAATACACTTTCGAACTGAGAGGCTAACATATACATTCCCCTCTGACGAGAAAAAATGAAAGCTGTCTCGTTTTTCACTTAAATACATCTCCTGATATTTATGATAAAGGCTGTAGTTCTTCGACTATATATCCAGCTATATGGCCAGGTTTCTTTGATAAACGGGAAAAAAACCCCGAAAACGCGTTGTAATGTACAACAGTCAATTACATAACAGTAAAGGTGTTCCGATTACTTTTATTTGAACGACATTTGTTAATTATAAATTTGATACCAAAAATATTCCGCATATGATTCATTCAGTTATTTTTTACCGCAGTAAGAAATAAAACCTAAGTAACATATTTTTTTGTATTTTAATCAACGATTATAAAAAATAAAACCAATAAATAAGAAAAACAGTCGATGCGTCCATTGCATTGTCATAAAGTTATTTTTGACATGAAACACATAACGCTAAGGGTATAGTCGAATCGATTCGAATCTACATGTTGCATTTGCGTAACAGGTCTTTCGTCGTATTGCGGTACATATTGCATAAGTCATTGAAACATCTCACAAAAACATTTTACTGGTTTTGTTAAATAAACCCTGTAAACAAACAAAAATGATTTCAAGACACACTTATGTGATCGCACCTTTTAAATGTGTATTAGATACAGTATATTAGCACTAACGTATACTGTACCATCTGACTCATTGTTGATGCTGGGAGCCAAACTGGTGGAAATCCACATGTAAACAACCCAACGCTTCAAGGATTGGCATATTTTCTGGCTACCTGATCTTCCAGTAAAAGGTCTTTAACATGACAAAATTTCTAAATAATGAACTAGATTGGTTTAACACTAAATATCTATATCTATGTTTATCATTATTTGTCTTTGTTTTGAATATATTTTGGATTTTTTCGATCGTTAGAGCGAATATTATGCGGCCGACCAAAGTTGCTATGTATACTTCAGCCGTAACTGAAATTTTAGGATCATTGGGATATTTGCCTGTGGTTATTTATTATATCATTTTAGGAAATTATGTTTCATTCGTTCCGTATACGGTCTGTATCCTGATAATGTTTATATTATATGTATGTACACCAATCATGCATGGTCTATTTCTTTGGATTTCCGCTGGTTTAGCTGCCCAGCGGTTATTTGTAATTTCGTATCCGTTTTTGGCATCACAACCAACACACCAAAATTCGTTGAAACGACCAATTGCTTTTGTAATTTGTACATGTACTGTTTTATGTTTTTTGCATTGTTCCCTAATCCAATATATATGGAATATCCCATCCTTGGAAGTACCGATGAAGTCTGATATCTCTGTGAGTGTATTAACAAGTCAGGTTCCAGACATTGTTATAGCATCGCATGACGGTATTAAGGTAGGTGTAGGGGTGATTTTACAGACAGTCGGAGTACAGATACTTTCCACACTGATAATGTTGTGTGTCTGTATCCGGCTCCGTATAGTGATAGCAAGAAAAAAAGCGATGCAGAAATGTTAATCTGTAATTCCAAACTAACAAAGTAAAGGACTCGATACTGTCAACACAGTTACACTAGTCATAACTGTGGTTGTGTTCATAGCAGAGCTTCCTAATAGCATCCTTACTGTGATATCTCAACTATACTGGTGTTTTCTAAATTGATATGACTTTTATTTTTTACTTCGTTCAATATCGTTTGTATCAAAGATTTTTCTGCGATTACCTATATAAATTGTATTGTTTGTTACTCTACAGGCAAAGAATTTCGAGACTCTTTTCAGTCCGTTTTGAAATGTGTAAGGAAAGATTAATAAATAAGTCATGCGGCAAACGTTACCGACTTCAGTATAACCATTATCATTATACGTGTATCATATTCACAACTATGTAAGATGCACTGGCATACAGCTTACTTTGTTGTTACAAATCCTTATAATTTTACTGAAACGTCACCTAGAATGATTTCCTTCTATAATTCATATATAGTGCTTTGCTTATCAAGATTATGCATTTATGTTACTTGCATTTACATTTCTATTGACAATATCATTTGAAAAAGTTATCAAACAGTGAGCGAGATGAAAATCTGGCTATTTTTTTACATGAGAATGAGATACGCATTGGGCAAAAGGCTAGCACTTTTGAATTGTGCTCTTCTTTATCAGATAATGTGGCTTACCCACACAGCACATTTCCTGACACGTTGTTGGTATGGTCCAAAATCCTCCCAATGTTTAATCGGAGGAGATGGGACGGGGTAGGGGCTCAAGTTTGCGATAGATGGCGAATGCAGGTTAATAGGGCGGCCTCCTCTCACATTTTATATCATTGTAACAGCTCCTTCATTGGCTATCCCCAATTAACTCTGAAAGCCCCAGAGATGTTTAGAGAGGATGATGGTGTCCATTTATCGCATGCAGAAAATCATATACTTTTAAATTCAGTCAGGAGTGCTTTGCATTTGTTTCTAGTAACTTCAAACAGAGTATTCCCATAAATAATTTAAACCAAACAACACAATTGAAAGTTTCCCCTCTCCCTTACGTGCGGCACGGCACGGCACGACTTGTTCGTCGAAGTTTCATTGTGCGCCTAACATTGTTGAACGTTGGTGGTGCCCTCTTTTTGTGATTTATCAGCCATGTACGCCATTTGGCGGAACTTCGACAAACAATAATATAAAAGTAAGTATTGTATGGCTTAATTGCTGGAGATCCTCAGCCACAACGATACATAAAAATGTGGCTTGTTGGAGAACGTAAATAATTCAATAATACAATTTTCAGTCAATAATACAGATTTTGAACGTAATCTATTTACAAGGATTAGTTCGCTATGATTGCTCAGCCTCTTCTGTGTGCTATTATAGTATATAGATTTCATAGTTGACGCTGGAGATCTTCGTCCAACTTGGAGTAGAATATACATAGATTTGAATTTAAACATTTGAGATTCTCAAAAGTGATATTAATGACATTTGGACTTTTAAGGATAATCAGTGAGAGGCAATTAAGTTTGAAGTTAAATATTTGAATTTATTTGACGTCTCAATTGGAGGCGATTCAATCGATGTTGATTTGAATTAGACATTGCCATAAATGTCTGCTGGGGCGAGCATGTCAATAAAGCCGTGGCACAGTACCCGAATCGGGACACTTTTTAGTGAAATATTGATGTATTTCATACCATACTACTTATCGATCTCAATAATTATTCTTCACTTTTCCCAAATAGATATCATTATCTGTTCATTCTAATAACAAGTTGATATTTCCGGCGCGTGGTTCCATAAATAGAACCAAAAATATAGTAATGGTTAAGTGCATGTAATCGCGAAACAGGTGTAGCTGTAACCAAATCGGGACACACCAACCAGTTTTGGCTTATATTTGGAGATGAAAAAAGTATTAAGCAAAACATGACATATCTTTGGAATATTTATAAGAGCCAATTGGGTCGTTCTGAATGAATTTCTTTTCCAAACCACCATTGGTTGTAAATTAATAGGACTGTCGGAAAATCACATACAAAAATTGAAAATCAGTAACGTCGCATATGGCGCATCAATTTAGAACGTTACATTTTCGTTATTATTTACAAACTTAAACTGTGATTGTAACCATAAGTGGCAGTAAATCAAGTTCATATAATGTTTTATTGGTATATAAGCATCTTTAAAAAAATATTGTCAATTTAAAAATTCTTCTTTGCACAGCATGCAAATATCTTGTGACTTTTTAATGTCCGTCAAGTGTACATGTCCCGATTTGGGTACTGTGACGTTAGCTTGTACATATACTGTCTACATGCGTGTCTTTTATACCATACATATTTATAGTTGTTCAATTTTTAGAACACAAACGGGTGACTTGCCAAACGAAATGTCAGAAATTTGTTTATTTTCAAGGACCACAAGGGGCTGTACATCCGTTTTAAAATGTAACATTTTCGAGTATATAAAAACGGCGGACTTGCAAATGTTTATGTTTGTAAGGCTTTTGTCAAGGCTCGGCTGAAAGCGGCATCAGATTACTAAGTCCGACATTATATTTGATAAACGAACAACTGTGGTCCGACCGGTTAAACCGTTTCAACGAAAACAGCCATGGTTCACGTACGCATGCACCTTTCGGTACCTCTACGGCGTACATGGATAATTACTCCCTCCTTGTGTGTAGACACACACGTACAAGACATGCGCAGTGTGTCCTTTCGTATTGTTGACGATAAGCCATGATCGCGCTAACGTGATGAGGGAATAAACATTTCTGGCTGACCACTTCGCCTTGACCAGTGCTATAAACTACTCAGTACCAAAGTAACTAGGTAAACCGATGCATTTCAACTGTCACATAGATTGTTTCGTGTGTTTATGGGGACGAAACGGCGTATAGATAGACGCGACCTACATAGAAACACACCATTTTATTTTACGATTAAGGAAGTTAATTGCAAAACAGATACCCTGGTATGCCAATACGTTAGGAAGTAAAGTCATTGCCAACTTTTACTATTACTTAGATTCCTCCTAGCCTTTTCGCATCCTAGCTCGGTACTCCAGGGATTATAACTACGTACCGTGCGCTTACTTTCGCTTTTAGCCCGAGTTTCCTCTGGCCCTGACACAAGACTTAAACTTTGACAGATAGATACGTCAGACATTTCATTCTATCTGTCAAAATGTCTAAGTCTGGTGTCAGGGCCAGAGGAAACTCGGGCTATTTCGCTCTCTGCACCCTAGGAATATGTCATGACAAAATCGAAGGCTGATCAGCAGGTCGGGAAAACCACCAACTTGCGTTTAATACGCAAATTCGCCTATTATATGTATGATTTTGTTACTAAAAATAACCCAAATCGCTTTAACAGTAACTTTTGCAAGATATTATTAAAAATCACATTAATTTACGACAAGGTAAATCATATTTGGCTAAAAGATGTATACTGAAAGCTTTGGCTACTTAGAAACGTGATGTATCTTTACCGGAAGTATTGCAGGCTTGCATCTATTTTTGGTACTTTCCCACATGCAAATAAATTTTATTTTTGAATTTTTATTATGTTTCATGACTGAATAAATGCGACTTGGACAAACAATTTGAAAAAGTAAAGATTAAAGTGATTTTGGCTATTTTTAGTAACAAATCCATACCCCTATTGGGGTATATAATAGGCGAGTTTGCGTTATATACGCAAGTAAGTGGTTTTCCACGACCTGATCAGTGTGCGCAACCAGCTTGTGTGCGAGACGAGAAGACTAGATATATACTTTTATGTACATCAAAAGAATCTCTCGTTTACAATGTTTACTTTTTAAGACTGATCGGATAAACAAAATGGCCGACTGGCAGCCATCTTGGATTTTGACAGTGAATATTTGTTATTGACACTTTTTCACAGGAAGTACCGGAGGGACCTTTATCAAATTTGATACGTAGGTTTCCCTTTGTCCTGAGTTGTACATATTTTATTTTGTGAGTGATCTTCGAAGGTTGTGTTTTAACAGCAGTATGAAGTCTTGATAAAAAGTTACCTCAAGGTGCATTTACTGTTTACATGACTTGATCAAACAGATAAGAAGAGAAAATATCGAACTGACTGAACTAATGAAGTCGGTACAATGGTGGGCAAAGATCACTCTGGGATCTCTTGGTTAATTTGAAAATGGGGAAATTGTAACCTTAACTGCTTTTCTGAGATCAAAATAAGAAATTTGCAGACTTTTTATTTCTAATTTTGATTGTTTTTATAAACTCTCTGTGGATAGGCAAAACATCAGGGGTTGAGTGACATATGGAATATACATTTTTTTTACTATTTAATTGTTTGCATAAACTCTCTGGATATGCGAAACATCAAGGGTTGATTGACATATGAAATATACCATTTTTTTACTATTTAATTGATTGCATTAACTCTCTGTGGATAGGCAAAACATCCAGGGTTGAGTGACATATGAAATATACAATTTTTCTACTTAATTGTTTGAATAAACTCTATTGATTGATGAAACGTCCGGGGTTGAGTGTCATATAAAACATACAATTTTGTTACATCATTTTACAGGTAAACAATACAAATCTGTCACTCAGTCATATTGACAAAGGGACCGGTCGGTCTTGAAGAATTTTAATCTACATTGATTGTGTACAAGATATTACAGATTCCCAAACCGATGAATCTTATTGATTAACAAAACTGACTTGTTCTAAATTAACATGCTAATCAACTTATTCATGAATGTTCTAGCTGGTAATAGATTTATTGCATAACCTGTGTAAGGAAAGATGATAATTCCAACAAAATATTTTAACGTGGTCTCAACATGCCACAGTATAATTTGTGCTACTTTATATATTGTCTTCTAACCTTCATTATGGTGTGTACATTGTGACGTCATACCATTGTTGTGCAATGACGTGTAATTTTGACGTTAGGATTGTGTCCTTTGGAAATAAAACTTTGAAGTCCTGTGAGGGTGAAAAGTGATTATTTTGATTTGGTTATTATGGCTATCTATTCTTGTTAATGATATATATATTATATATATAGGGAACTATTATGTGATGGCAAAGCTAGTTTATGACGTCATAATATGTACTTCAAATAAACAGTCTGAAGAATCTCCTTGACGAGATGAAAGTGCTGAAGACTTCTTGTTGAGATTTTTTCTTTTTATGTACATGTATATACAATATAAATATGAAAATGAAAAATTACAAGAAGACTTGACACAAAATTATACTATGGCATGGAGTGGAATCTCCACTCAAATTTTCGTGGCTATCATAGATTTTGGCACAACTTGTATATATATATATTTATCACATAATCGGCCTGTTATCCAGTGAATTCGCCTGTGTAATAATTTTACATATGTCACTAATGTAATATACCCTGGAGCGTTTTTCATTAGCTGTGCCAGTCACAGAAATCAATTGTGATGTCATAATATGGACAATGACATGACGTCATAAATTGTGAATGGCGCAACAAAATGGCTGCATGTCTCCGTTTGATTAAGCCCTCTACATTTTAGCTTTAACACCTGTCAAAATGTAAGTTTTCTAAGTTATGTGATAAAAAGTATCTTAATTTATTTTATTTTCATATGAGCTTTTATGAAACTCGTCTCAAAGTTTTAATTTTTGCTCGCCAAGGCTCGCTACAATAAAAACTCCTTAGACTAGTTTCATAAAATCTCATATGAAATGAAAACTCATTCAAGATCCTATATATATAAAAAAAACTTCTCCAAAAATAATTTTTTTAACCTATAATCATTTATTTCCAGAGCAGAATGGCGGCGGCAGGTGGTGGTATCTCCACTCACCTTTTCGTGGCTGCCATAGATTTTGGTACAACGTACTCTGGATATGCCTTTTCTGCCAAAGACGACTTCCGAAAGGAGCCACTGAAGATAAATGCCAATGTTTGGAATGCTGGTGCGCGGTCGCTGATGTCGCATAAGGCACCAACAGCGCTGCTCCTCAACCCTGACAAAACCTTCAATTCCTTTGGCTATGAAGCTGAGAATAACTTCTCACAGCTAGCAGAGGAGGGTGAACACAAGGATTACTACTTTTTCCATCGTTTCAAGATGTTTCTATATAACAACAAGGTTAGTGTATTGTCTGTACTGTAGGTACAGACATTGGTATATTCTTAAATAGGTGGTCCTGCATGGTATCTTTGTGTATAGCATCTTTATGTCAAGAAGTGTTAAGCGGTCTATGTAACTTTAGACAGATTTATTATTTTTAAAGACAGTTTTTTTTTTGCAAATGGTTCAAGTATTATACCTAATAATGTAATGGTGGTAACAGGTGTATTATGTAAATAATGACATTCATCACCTGCTATGGCAGGTACAAATAACAGACGTCGCTGTAGCGAACTATTATGTGACGTCATAGTTTGTAGTGTCATAATTTCTCCTTCAAATAAACAGTCTGAAGATCTCCTTGATGAGATGAAAGTGCTAATTACATGTTGTTAAGACTTTTTCATTTTATATTATTTCTTTGTACGTCAAGATCATTGTACTGCTATTATAATATATGTACGATAGTGCAGACAAAGAACTTTATTAAAATACTTGTATATATATATATGGCTATCATTGAAAGGTTTTTCATTTTTTAGAATTTACATAGAGAAACGACAGTCAAAGAGGAGGGAGGCGAGCGAACGTTGCCAGCATTAGAAGTGTTCTCCCATTCCATCCGGTACCTAAAAAACCATTTAGTGGACAGTATACAAAAAATGGTGACTGGAATTCACGATAATGACATTAAGTTTGTACTGACAGTTCCGGCAATATGGGACGACAAAGCGAAACAATTCATGCGGGTAGCAGCCAAGAAAGTGAGTCATTAACAATTAACATTTCTTAACAAATGTATTTTTGAAGTTTTATTTGTTTCCTGTAGCTTTTCCCCCTTCAATTGCTATATATTTCTTACATACCTGCATGGCCATGTATGATAAAGATTTCCAGTGATGGAAATCGTTTTAAGAAAATCCATTTTTATAGACATGTCATCACAGATCAAAGAGACTACAACTGACTGTAGCAAATTTCACATTATTCTAATTTGTTTTGCTGAATTTCATTTCTCAGTTCAAATTGAAGTGATTTATTATATCATGTATAGCTGTGTTATTTATGATTTTAAGTTTATTACTGGAATTGGGTAGACTGTCCCTCTGTTTGTAGACATATTGTTGTTCACATTTACTCCTCCCAAAGTACTTAGCATATGAGGGAATGTGAACAAAGAATACGGTATATAGATTGGAGTTATATATCTCCATATGACAGAGTTATGCACCTTTGTTTAAAAACGTTGTTCACATTTCGCATATAAAGTGATACGATAAAGTACGTATTGAACTGATTTGAATGAGCCTTGGTACACTTACATGTACATGACGGGGCGTGAATGAAGCGTATAGGTTGAATTCACCTCCCCATATAATGCTTGCATCAAATTAAAGTGGATGTGACAGTCTAAAATTGGAGTAACCTCCCTTATTTATGTAGTTATGCCCCTTTGTTTTAAAACACTTTTGAAAAACAAAACTATTTCTTACCATTCTTTGTGCAGGCCTTTTGTACAGTAAATCTGCCATTCCTGATCTGGCAATAGTTCTGGTTTAATGTTGTTTATAACACATGTTTTCATTGGTTTGTGTTTACAGTCTATCCAGCGATAGACCGGAACATTATTTTGATGACTTTGTACACAAAATACTATTTTTTTTTACTGAAAAAAAAAATGGAAATCTGAGCATTATTCTTGATATTACATTCTAGATAACTTGCTAAGGTGCTTATTTGAGCATCAATATTTGAGATCTAGTATTTGAACCTGTAGAAAAGCTCCAGCTTGTCATACATTGCAATAGCATGCACTGGGATTACATTTGGTTGATAAAAATCAATGTGCTGTTCATAAAAAATACAATTGTTGTTGTAAATAAGTACAACACATACACTTTGTGCTATAGAAGTTTCCTTTATAGGATCAGACTAAATACAAAAACTTGTCTATCTGTTTATTATCTAGTCCAGTCCTTCATTACATTTTGTCTGTAATTGGCTTCTTGTGTGAAGGGCTGACAACTTTAAAAAAAAAAAAATACTTTGACCCACTTTCTAGGTCAGCCTTAGGAGTAAGATGTGTTAAAATCCTTTAACTTTTGTTAAAGGTCAATATGAGGTTAACAACTCTGATTTATATAACTATTTGCCCTGATACTTGCTAGAATTCAATTTTTCAACTCTGAAGGTCACATGAGTAAAATATATTGAAATGTTCAAGCAACAATCTTTAAGGTGTTAAGCCTCTAAATGAACAACAAAATACAATCCTGGTATTTTCAATTTGACTCAAATTATTCATAATTAGTTTGACTTGTACTGTCTTAAAGCTATATGTACATGTAGCTGTTGTGGTAAAATGATGTAAGACCTGGCTATAATTATATGATTGTTGTTTATCAGGGAGGTATCAAAGAGACACAGTTAGCTATAGCTTTGGAACCAGAGGCGGCATCCATCTTTTGTCAGCACCTTCCAGTGGAGAGATCCGGAGCCGGAAATGAAAGTTTCCTCAAAGGGGCCAAATCTGGGACGAGCTATATGGTGTTGGACTTGGGAGGTATGAATACAAAATTGTAGTAACTTTACGAAGTGCAAAGTTCCTAACCATTTTAGGTCTTTTTTCTGGAAGATCAAGAGATACTGGTTGAAAGTGTTTCAGATGTAAATTCAGATAATTTTATTTCATTTCAGGATTTCTAAAAATATCTTTGCATGCTTGTGCATATATATATATATATATGTGGAACATGTACCAATTGTATCTACTTACAGGCTAAGCCTTGTTATTTCATCTGGCCCGAAGGGTCATGTTAGCTTATGCTATGGTTGTTATCCATCCGTCAGCTTTTCCTTTAAACACTAGTACTACTGTACTTGTGTGGAAATTATTGCGATTCCCACCATATAATCATACCGCCAGGATTAATGTCCCTGGGTCCAATCCAGCCCATTTAACATAGGCCATAGCATGGAAACTGTTGAGATCACCATCCTTACTTTCACTAAGCATGGAAAAATAAATACACCCAGGGTTCTCCATGCACCTTGGTTCTTTGTGCTGGAGTCATGACCAAGCCCTATTACCATTTACTAATATGTTTGGATTTTATCCAAAAGTACTTTCAAACCATATGCTTGGTCTTTAGGACCTTGTGCAAAGAAAGGGTCAGGTGTAGTTCCTCAGTGTGATGTATGTGCCTAAAGGATAGAATTGGTTGTCAAATCATCTTTAGGAAGCCTACTCTTCTAGACCAGGTAATTGTATTCTGAACAATTTGGCTGTTGACAAAAGATGAAATGTTATAAAGATGAGATGCTGACCCTTAAATGGAAAATATCTGTAATATCAATATTAATTAAAATGTTTTGCAATGATTGTTTGAAAATCCAGCTGAACAATTAAGATCCGCTGGACCTTTTTTTTTCTTAATGAATTCACTTCAAATATTGACATTGAAGTGGTGATGACAGACATTAAACTAATCGTTGAATGGTGATGTAGCTGGTTGTGTCTCTGGTTTCAGGTGGAACTGCTGACATCACTGTCCATCGGCGACAACTTGACGGGACACTGAGAGAACTACTTCCTGCAACAGGAGGTGCATTTGGTGGGAAATCTATCGACGATGCCTTTAGTGCTTTCCTTGCAGACATTATTGGGGAGGACAGTCTGAAAAAATTACAGATGGAGGCCATGGAGGATTACATTGACCTTTTCCGAGAATTTGAAACAAAGAAAAGAGCAAATTTTCAAGACAAGCCAGGGAAAGTATCAGTTACAATGCCTGTAGCTCTGATGGACATAGTTAAGAAAGACCTCAAAGGAAAAACAATGGAGGATGTTGTGAAGTCATCTCCACATGCGGAAGATGTCCAGTGGGGAAAACAAAAACTACAGATTTCAAAAAAACGATTCCAAGGACTTTTCGGTCCAACTATAACTGGAATCATTAAACACATGGAAGGCATATTGAATGAAGAAAAGTTCCAAGATGTGGAGAATATACTTATGGTTGGGGGATTTTCGGAATGTGAACTTGTCCAAAATGCAGTCCGTGGAAAGTTTGGTAAGAAGCGGATTATCGTTCCAGATGAGGCTGGCCTGGCTGTGCTTAAGGGTGCAGTTCTCTATGGTCACATGCCCAAGGTAATCAGCAGCAGGGTGGCACGTCACACCTATGGAATACAGAGTTGGCCAGCATTTGATCCTCTCAGACATCCTGCTGAAAAGAAGGTTGTTATCAATGGAGTTGCTCGATGCAAGGATGCATTCTTCAAGTATATAGAAATCGGACAGCAAGTGACCCCTGGCCATACGGAGTCGCAAGTGTTCCAGGCGCTTAAACCAGACGAGGCTACCCTAGAATGTACTGTATATGTATCAGACCAAAGGGACCCTGTCTTTGTAGACGACGGGGGGTGCACGCGATTGGGACTCCTCACAGTTCCCCTAGACCCTAACCGTAGAGGAGCAGTTGAGGTGGAGGAGACGCTTGTATTTGGAGAAACTGAGCTTCATGTGCAGGCGAAGGACATGGCCAATGGAAACATGTATGAGGCTCGCTTCGACTTTTTGTAAGTACAACTGTATTACTATCAAACGTTCACAAGATGAAATAAAACAGGAAAACCTAGAAAACTTCCATGAGAAATAGCCAAATCAGTTACTGCTGTAAGTTAAGTTTTGTACTGTGTGGCACTGTCATGATGGTTACGGTCAAGTGCTGGAAAGTGGTGTAGTTCGTCAATGTCTATTACTGATAGACAAACATAATTTACAAGCCATTTTGGCCCACCATAATCTCATAGAGGCATGTTTCCCATCGCTGTTGAACAATACTTGTTACCACAATTTGATGTTAGAACAGGTTGTTATATGATGACAGGTAAAATGTGGGCGCTTCCTTAGATGTAGTAGACAAACCTTGTCTTTATCATGTCTATTTCATCAGCACACCTTATCTTACTAATTCATCAGCACACCTGTATCTTTATCATACTGTTTTATCAGCAAACCTGTATCTTTATCTTACTTTTTCATCAGCCTATCTGTCTTTATCATACTATTTCATCAGTACACCTGTATCTTTATTCTTTATTGTACTTTTTCATTAGCACACCTGTATCGTTATCTTACTAATTCATCAGCACACCTGTATTTTTATCATACTTTTTCATCAGCACACCTGTATCTTTATCATACTTTTTCATCAGCACACCTTTATCTTTATCCTACTTTTTCATCAGCACACCTGTATCTTTATTGTATTTTTTCATTCGCACCTGTATCGTTATCTTACTAATTCATCAGTACAACTGTATCTTTATTGTACTATTTCTTTAGCACACCTGTATCTTTATTGCACTATTTCTTTAGTACACCAGTATCTTTATTGCACTATTTCTCTAGCACACCTGTATCTTTATTGCACTCTTTCTTTAGCACACCTGTATCTTTATTGCACTATTTCTTTAGCACACCTGTATCTTTATTGCACTATTTCTTCAGTACAACTGTATCTTTATTGCACTATTTCTTTAGCACACCTGTATCTTTATTGCACTATTTCTTTAGCACACCTGTATCCTTTTTACACTATTTCTTTAGCACACCTGTATCTTTATTGCACTATTTCTTTAGTACACCTGTATTTTTATCTTGTGTATGTACAACCAATCTACTGTTCCAGTACACAACAAGGAAATGTTTTTGTCTTTCAGGGGTGAAGGTTTTTAGAGACTTTTTGGGAATACAAAATCAGAGGCAAGGTGATTACGAAGGAAGCACCTGATTACGGACCAGATGTGACCTAGTGGGAGTGGTTTATTCAGTCATACCATGTGACCTAGTGGGAGTGGTTTATTCAGTCATACCAGCGTTATAGGGATCAAATGCTTCCTACAAAAGGATTTTCTTGAACAGACATACAATAATTGGGGGTGTTCTCATGATCAGTTCCCCCACTTTTTAGAGAACAAAGAAAAGTGTTGATGTATGAAGACAGGTAATACACTAGGTAAATACGGCCAATACTACTCAGAAACAGACTATGATCCTTCTTACAACATTCTTCTCTCCATGTTATTTTAAAAAGTGGGGGAACTCAGAGAACATGCCGATAATTGCACAGTATCTTGGATAAGAACAGTTTCCCAAAGAGAATTAGCCTTTACAATTACGAATTTTACAATAATTAACTAAAACTATGATCTTTTAATAGGTATGGTAAGACACCAGCATTATGTGTCTAATAATATATATACATAATTCATGCATTCATAAGCTGATTGTGATTTTACTTGACTGAAATACAGAATATTGAAGGTTGAAGAATTAGAAATACATGTAGTGTTATAATGAAGTGGATATGATCTAATGTTGGAAAGAGTAAGTATGTATACATGTACAAGAAAGATAGATTGGGAAAATTTGATGAAAAGAAAAAAAAATCATGATAATGTGTGAGAGAGAAAGAAAGTAACTCCCACAGGTAATGGGTATATTTATGTTAAAAATATACATGTTTACTTTCTAGAAGAAAAAAAAGCAATATTTATGGAACGTTTATCGCATTTTAACCCAAGAAAGCTGAACTTATATTGCAACCAATGCATGTAATGTCTGTTTTGCAGTGACCGAAATTCAAAATGATTCTCTCGGATGATGAATTACGTGAAAATTGGTGCCATATGCCAAGTAAAACTTAATTTTGGCAATCAATGTAGCTTCTAATACAGTGTTGTTGAATGTTACTGTTTAACACTTTCACCCCTATATAACTTTAGTAGACTCTACCATGCATTGATATGGATGAGTCCATTTTAGTCAAGTGGTGTTAACCCTTTTCACCATTGTAGACCACAATGGACTCATCCAGATCAATGCATGGTTGAGTTTACTAAAGTTGCATAGGTGTGAAAGGGTTAAAACAGTGTAACTTTATATGATATAAAAACTGGAGTTATATACTGCTTGCTTTGTTATTCATTTGTATGTTGGTAGCTACGAATGTACATTAATAAGATGACTGCCATACAATGTAAGGCATCACACAGCTCTTGGTTTTATTCAGTTTTATTTATTGTTTCATCAGGTAATGCTGACTAAATGTATTATCAATTTTCATCTAGAACATTTGTCATTCAGATGATATTCATACAGAAAAAAAATGTTCCTGCAAATTCAAATGATTTTCATTCAAAATATTTTTTCTGTAGACATTTTTAGCTCACCTGGCACAGAATGCCTGCACTGTAATGGGATTGTGTAGCATCTGTCGTCTGACCTAAACTTTTTCTTTCAAAGACTTCTTAACTCATTTACCCCTGAAGACACATTTGAACTCTTCCAATTCAAGGGTTTGAATAGTCCATTATGTAATATCAGGGATGAATGAGTTAAGAACTATTAGTTGTTATATAGAAATAACTTTGATCTACATGTATATTCTAGATTGAAGGGTTTTCACATGCCTGACACAAAGTGTTTCCGTCTGTCTGTCCATAGCTTGAGCCGGTGGCTTGGTAAATTGCAAAGGCTACCAAAAGAAATGACCTTGATTGTATGCTCCAGATAACAGGGGTCAAATTGATAAACATCTTTAACCCTTTCACCACTGTAGACCATACTGGACTCATCCATATCAATGCATGGTAGAGTCTACTGAAGTTACCTAGGGGTGAAAGGGTTAAATGACATCTTCCAGAATGTAAACAGTTTTTGATCATGATATTTGTCAAGGAGCATACTTAGGTGAAGGCCAACCAAGTTTAACAGTAGAATGACAGTCCATGGTCATCTTTCAAAGACAAGGGAGACAAATACGATGAAATCTTCAAGTGGCTTGTTCTTAATATCCATTAGGCCAAGAGTAAAAGTTCTTCTTAACTTTATTTTAAGAAGGAAGTACATGTGGAGTGGATGTATTCAATTTAATGATCCTGACCCACTTTCAACGTCAGAAGAATCAAATATGTTATTTTTTATACAACTTGTTAATACTCTGGTGAGATCCATATGGGTTCCAGTGTAATGATTAAAGGATTTTTACTGATGTGAATAATAACTTGATCTGTAGGTCACCATGGTCAAATGTTTTAAAAAGTTTAAACAGTTTTTATTTCGAAGGTCATGGATGGGAAATGGTTTGCAAGCATAATTGAGTAACAAATGAGTAATACAGGCCAATTGGGCCTCTTGTTAATGTGTTATTAAGTACAATGAATAAACAAATCAATTCAAATGCAATATTTTTAACTTTTTGCTTAAGTTACTAAATCTTTGCAAATAATATTGATGAGCTGGATATGGAAATGTTTTGAAGTGTTTGCTTGAATTCTGATTGAGGTTACACAAAACCTTTTATTTTTTTAATTATTGCTGGAAATTTTCATATTAAATTGTACAATACATTTTAATATGATCTGTTAACATATACAATAAGATTGTAAAATTTATGAAGCCTGGCTCATGTTTGGTAGCGTCTGTTTATTTTTTTAGCTCACCTGGTCCAAAGGACCATGGTGAGCTTAAGCAATACCGCAGCGTCCGTCGTCCATCCGTCCGTCCGTCAACTTTTCCTTTAAAACGCTACTAGTCCTGAACGGCCAAGTAGATTTTGACGAAATTTGGTCTGGAGTATTCTTAGCTGAAGGGGACTCATTTTTTTTTATAAACGTTGGGTGTGGCCCCCCTGGGGGAAGAGGGGCGGGGCCCAATAGGTGAAATAGAGGTAAAACCTTTAAAATCCTTCTTCTACCGTAGGGATTAAGGGATTTTATCCTAATATAGTCTGTAGCATCCTTGGGCCAAGGGGACTCAATTTTGTTTAAATGGTGGGTCTGGCCCCCCTGGGGGCTGAGGATCGGGGCTTAATAGGGGAAATATAGCAAATTCTTTAAAATCCTTCTTCTGTAGGAATGAAAGGATTTGGTCAGAAGCATCCTTGGGGGAAGGGGAACAAATTTGTATAAACGTTGGGTCTGGCCCCCCTGGGGGCTGAGGGGCGGGGCCCAATAGGGGAAATATAGAAAATTCTTTAATATCATTCTTCTTTAGGAATGAAAGGATTTGTTCCATATTTGGTCTGAAGCATGCTTGGGTAAAGGGGAACCAATTTTGTATAAATCGTTGGCCTGGCCACCCAGGGGCCTGCGGGGCGGGGCGGGGCCTAATAGGGGAAACATAGCAAATTATTCTTTAAAATCCTTCTTCTTCTGTAGGAATAAAAGGATTTGGTCTATATTTGTTTTGAGCATCCTTGGGTAAAGGGGAACAAATTTTGTATAAACGGTGGGTCTGGCTCCCCTGTGGGCTGGGCCCAATAGGATAGATATAGCAAATTCTTTAATATCCTTCTTCTGTAGGAATGAAAGGTTTTGTTCCATATTTGGTCTGAAGCATCCTTGGGTGAAGGGAAACCAATTTTGTATAAACCATGGGTCTGACCCCTCAGGGGCCTGAGGGGCGCGGCCCAATAGGGGAAACATAGCAAATTATTCTTTAAAATCCTTCTTCTTCTGTAGGAATGAAAATATGTGGTCCATATTTGGTCAGAAGCATCCTTGGGGGAAGGGGAACAAATTTGTAGAAACCTTGGGTCTGGTCCCCCTGGGGCCTGAGGGGCAGGGCCCAATAGGGGAAATATAGAAAATTCTTCAATATCCTTCTTCTGTAGGAATGAAAGGATTTGTTCCATATTTGGTCTGAAGCATGCTTGGGTAAAGGGGAACCAACTTTGTGTAAACCGTGGGCCTGGCCCCCCAGGGGCCTGCGGGGCAGGGCCCAATAGGGGAAACATAGCAAATTATTCTTTAAAATCCTTCTTCTTCTGTAGGAATAAAAGGATTTGGTCTATATTTGTTTTGAGCATCCTTGGGTAAAGGGGAACAAATTTTGTATAAACGTAGGGGCTGGGCCCAATAGGATAGATATAGCAAATTCTTTGATATCCTTCTTCTGTAGGAATGAAAGGATTTGTTCCATATTTGGTCTGAAGCATCCTTGGGTGACAGGGAACCAATTTTGTATAAACCATGGGTCTGGCCCCCCAGGGGTCTGAGGGGCGGGGCCCAATAGGGGAAACATAGCAATTTTTTTTTTTAAATCCTTCTTCTGTAGGAATGAAAGGATTTGGTACATATTTGTTGTGGAGCATCCTTGGATAAAGGGGAACACATTTTGTATAATTAGTGGGTGTGGCCCTCCTTGGACCTGAGGGGCAGGGCCCAATTGGGGAAATAGAAGTAAAACCTTTTTAATCCTTCTTCTACCATATGGTTAAGGGATTTTATCCTAATTTAGTCTGGAGCATCGTTTGGCAAAAGGGACTCAATTTCGTATAAACAGCAAGTGTGGCCCCCATTGGGGGTACCTTCTTTTTCTGTACAAATGACATGAGTTTGTCCAAATTTGGTGTGAAGCATCTTTGGGTGAAGGGGAACCAATTTTGTATAAACGGTGTGTCAAACCCCCCTGGAGGCAGAGAGGCGGGGCCCAATAGGGGAAATAGAGGTAAAACCTTTAAAATCCTTTTACCATAGGGATTAAGGGATTTTATCCTAATTTAGTCTGGAGCATCCTCGGGCTAAGGGGACTCAATTTTGTATAAGCAGTGGGTGTGGTCTCCCAGGGGGCAGAAGGGCGGGGCCCAATAGGAGAAATAGAGGTAAAACCTTTAAAATCCTCCTTCGACCATCGGGATTAAGGGATTTTATCCTTATTTAGTCTGGAGCATCCTTTGGCCAATGGGTCTCAATTTTGTATAATTGGTGGTTATAACCCCCTTTGGGCATAGGGGTGGGGCTCTGTTTGAAGTTTGTTCTCGCTATATCTCAAGTACTGGATGGATCTTTCTGAAATTTCATATGTACTTACAGCACCTACCATGGAGTGCTATATCTTTACCAATTATTTTAAACATATTCAGGTGAGCGATACAGGCCCTCTCGGCCTCTTGTTCCCATTCGAAAGCATATCTAGTAAGTCGAGGAACTATTGCCAGTAAACACATTCTTCAGCAATGCTTTCTTATGGAATTTAAATTGAAATAGTTATTAGTTATAAGGTTCTTTTCAGGATTGTATCCTGTAATGAACAAAATCATGTTTGAAAATCACAATTTACTTTTGTACCTATAAACGTGTATTATTTTTATAACTTGCAGTGCGAGTTTTTGAATATATCGATTTACACCATTCACAAGGTTCATGTATTTTATAAGAAAACAAATGAGGATGGGGTTCAAAAATGCATGGTTTCTATATTACTCAGTCATTTTGTACCGTAATAAAGAAAATCCCATTATTAGAACTCTATGTGTCTATATTTGCATTTCCACTGCAAGATCCTCTAGATCTATAAGCGTTATCAGAAGAAATCGTGCTCATAGAGCTATGAACGCAATTTGATCAGCGTCATTTTGAAGCTTCTCCTGCCTCCAATAACAACAATGACAACCATTAGAAGCAAACATCTTGGTGACGTTAGGGTGTTCCAGGAAAATCGTTTGCACTGACGACAACCATACTTGGATATTGAAAATATAAGAGAATATCTGTATTAGGGTCAATAATAACTAAAGGTTAGAATGTAAATAGTATATGTAACCGATTTGCGTTCATGCCAGCAAAATACGGTTCACTCCATACATATGATAATACGGTAAATAAACATCATACACACGGAACATCTCAAAGACAACTAGACCCAAACGCACCAAAACATAACAAAGACATGCAACTAGACCCAAAATGAGACCACATACTTCTATAATTAGAACATTCATATTCCTTACAGGTAAAAAGTGGGACAATAGATTTAAAATATGTTTTCCCATTGAAAAGCACAATTGGCATTTAAAGGCAAAAGATGTCATTCATTTAGATCCTTGTCAATTTACAATAGATGATTTGCCACATGCAGGTACATACAGGTATAAGCATATTCCAGAAAAAGTCCGCTTGTGTAAAAGAGGAACTGGTAACGTTAAGTTCTATACTACATTTAAGAACACATGCCAAATTATCAAAAACTAGTACATCTTTGTCACTTCTGGAATGT